CTGTATAATTGGCAGGAAAGAAAGAGTAATGAGAAATTAAGCTTTCAGAAAAGCATACAAAGAGATGAAAATATAAATTAGTCTATTCAATGACTAAAGAAGATCTAGAAGTGATTACCAGGGAGAAAAAAATCAAGATTATATAAGGAGAAAATAAGAAAGTTTTAATTTTTGGTAACATTTCTAAGATTCAGCTCTCTAAAGAGAACTGACATTTTGGAGACAGCAAGTTACTAGGGAAACGTACATCATGCACTCTTAGAGAGGTTCATTTTGTTACAGTTCAGAGAACCAGAGAGACACTGAGGTTGGAAAGCGTCTCTGGAGGTCATCTATTCCAAGCCCTCTGCTCTGATCAGGGTCACCCAAAGCAGGTTTCTCAGGGCTATGTTCAATTGGATTTGAAGTACTTCCAAAGATGGAGATACGTAATCACTTTGCACAACCTGTGCCTGTGTTTGATCACCCTCACAGTTAAAAAAAAAATTAAAAAAAGTCTTATGTTTAAATGGAAGTTTGTGTATTTCAATTTGTGCTTATTGCTTCCTTCTCTATGTCTTCTAAATTTGAGATAACAGGCCTTTGGCAGGAACTCTGGTTCTAGTAAATTAGCGTACATTCATGCATGCACATGCTTTCACTTGTGCAAAAGAATACGGGGCTATTGAAAATGCCAGAACATACTTGTCCTAAACATAGATACTTGTATGCCACATTATTTCATTTTGCCTCTTTGTGATTAGATGCAGTTATCAATATACTCAGTATTCAAAATTATGCTCATTCGTCAAAAGAGTAAGAGAGTTGCAGCATTATTTATTCTAATCATCTGCTAACATCTTGTTTTCTTCCTCTCTCATGTTACTAAAAATTGCAGGCAGTTGCTTGGTAGAGTGCTTAAATCCTGTAACTTATCCCCACTTAAGTCTCTGAGGCCAAAGACTTGACTACAAATGAGACAGACATAGGCTGCAGACTTTGGTTCTAACAAATGCAAAAGGCTTATCCATGAACATATCTACATGCAAACAAAGGCACTGAGGGAACACAGGCCAGCAGGCTGGGGAACTCTGACTTCTTGCTGATTCGCATCCAGTCACTGTTTCCCTTAAAACGTGTAAAAAACACTGAAAACAGGGGCTAGGAAACACATCTTCCTGTGTCATGTCATAGCATGTAGATTACAGAGTAACCTGCCCTCTTCCTCCCTCCCATCCTCACCTCAGGACTCATGCATCTGCTGCTGATCAGGGACCCCACTCTGGCAGCTGTGTGCTTGGGGCTGCAGCCCTCACTGCTGTGCTTAGGACTTGAGCCCAGTTCCACTAGCACACGTGGGGCACATGCTGGGCCTAGAGAGGATGGTGCTAAGTGCACAGCCAGCTTTGCCTCTCCAAGCAAAAGGAGCTAGCTCTTCAGCTATATTTAGTGAGTGGAAAAAAACTGACGCATGAGGCTTCCCAAACTGCACGTCGCTATAATGAAGTGGCTGGACTCAGAAAGTTAAACTCTATTTCAAACAGGTTTTTTTATTACTATGGGTGTTTGATCTTGCCTTTGGGGCCTGATACAGGGTTTATTTGCAAGAGTCTGACAGGCTACAGTGAATTTATTGAGCCCTAATATCTGCTTGGAGCTGAATGTCTCTTATGAGATCTCTAGGACCTTCTGACCCTACTTTACAAGGGAAGTTCAGCTCTTTTCGCCACCTGAATTGGGTACTGCAGCATTTGGATTCCTTGCTGAGCATTTCTGAAACAAGCCCTAGAGATTTTGTACAGTTGCTTGCTTTCAAGTAGCTAAAGGCATCAGCTATAGAGGACAATGACTTGCTGACAGGTGACATTCCCTTTTCCTTGCTTACTCTCCTCTCTTCTGCTGGAAAAGACTTTACAGTTGAATTTGTTTCACAGACTTGGAGCTGTTATATTATTTGAGTGCAGCTGAAAGAAGTCAGTGAACATTCTTGATCAAAGCACAGATTAAAATAAGATGGTACAGTGAGTACACATTTACTGCCTACATCCATTTTTCCAAGGAGTTTTCACAGAACAATCCTGTGTGCACAGACTGTGCTTGGGATGCTGAGGGTGTTGAGGTCTGCAAGATGATGTTTGGTAGCACATGGCTTGCAATAAACCAGCAGATCCCTTTGCTGTTTGTGTGGTTTTAATGAATGCAATGAGTATAAGGAAGCTAAGAAATAGACTTAATCTGGCAGGACTCACAATCTGTCTTTTCTAATGCAGTTTCTAACCAATTTGTACATTTCATGTTTCTTTCCAACAGTGCTTGCTGTCATGCAGACCTTCTAAGCCCAGTATTTAGATGCTTTTAAATACAGCAGCAAATGTGATAATTGTTTGCATAGTATTTCCTGCAGAAATTACCAGAAAACTACAGAAATAGGCCAGTCAATGAAGCTGAGTCTTAAAAGGAAAGCCTCAGTTAGAGCAGCAGAGTGCTGAAAGCAGACCCTTGCAATTACTCTCTGCTTGCAGAGCCGGCACGCTGGATGCATTAGGTTTCTGCAGCCTAGAAAGAGAAAATCCTGAATGCCCAGATAGCAGCCAACATGTTGTTACTGTGCAATGATATGGGAGAGGAAATACAGCAGATTTTGTAGGGATATCATTTTTTGTATTTTGAAGAGCTTCACTACCTTACTGAATGACTTCAGAATCTTCCCTATAGACTTCCTCTGACGGGTTGTGATAATATCAATTCCTCACAGCAATACTTCAGCAATTACCTAACTCTTTAGGCTAGTATCAGTCAGTATTTTAAGACTACAGCAACACAACAACAAACCAGAACTGGAAAATTACATTTTCCTCTTACAAGACTTAGATTTCCAAGCAAGAAAAAAAAAAGTCATGCACAAAACAGGAAGGGTTTAGCAAGAAAGAGGAACAAGCCTATTGTGAAATTGAAAATCACTCCCCAGAGGCAACAAAGCACATGAGGCTGCACCTTGTGTAATATCTTAAATGGCTGAAGTCCATTAGCTAGATTCCTTTTTTTTTTCTGATGGGCTGTTTATGCCCTCTTCAGGATTTGTAGTGAAATGAATAGAAAAGCACCAGTGAGATTTATTTATACTTCTGTAGTTCACACAATTGGACCTGCAGAGAGATTGTTCCCAGCAAAGACAAACTGATAAGCAGTGGGAACAGTACCAGATCAGGAAAAAAAGTATTGGCTGAAGTTAAAAACACTTTGCTCACTAAGAAAATACAGTTTAATGTTTAAAAAAATACTTGAAGAAAAGCTGCACCTTCACAGCTGCAGTGGACAAAAAGGCAATTAGAGCATTGAGGAGAGAGTTAAACAATTATAGGAGCTGACAAAGCACCTTGAGAACCTTGTCATAACTCTGCTATTCTTCTAGATTCATTTGTCCTCAGGCAGAGCAGAAGTGAACTCAGAAAAGAATCCTTCAGGGTTTTTTTTTAAAAAAATCAGAGTTCATAGCTTCACTGTCCTGAAATAACTCATTGCTGGTATCTCAAAATATGCTTGTTCAACATGCCAGAAGGCACAGTGCACATGAAAATCTCCCTGACCCAGCACTGGACAGGCCTCTATGTTTATTTGGGTCGTTAACACTCCTGAAACTTCTTTTGCTGGTGCTGCCAGTTTTTATGTGAGACTTCTGAACAGCAACCTCCATGTCCTCAAATGCTGCAGATAAAGCACAAAATGCTTTTCTTCACACTGTCACATGTTTTTGGTACTCATTAGTATACTGAAATGAGTGAGAATTACATTATTGAAAATTAAGACCCCAGAAGATTGGCCAAGAAATTTTTGTTTAAGTAAGGTAAATCTAGGATTAGAGGTTGTTTTTTCTATTTGATGATCAATATTAGATATGCCCAGTTTTGTTTCAAAACTTTCCTCAGCCGTGAGGGAAATTTTCAACTTTTTATTAAAACAAAGGCTGAGAGTGCAGTTTTATGCTCACATTGCTCACTAGAGCTGAGCCCACAGCACAAGCACTAGCCCAGCACACCTCTTGACCTGCTGCTGCTGCTGTGTACAGGGCTGGATGTGGTCAGAGTAAGACTAAGCTGTTAAAGTGCCTGCAGATTTAAGGTAGTCTGTGCTAGCCTGCTCAGCATTTGAACAGTGGAAATGCACTTGCACAGCCTATAGACATCTCAGCTAAGAGAGGAACTCCCCAGGTGATGTGACTCCGTGACAGCTGCCAGACCATTTCCAGGCAGTTTAAACGAGACCAGGATGGGCACAAGACCCAGAGCAAGACTCAAGATGTATAATTCCTGAAATATTTATAGTGTCCTGAGCATGGATTAGGCTGATGGTGTGAATATACCTGAAGACAGGAATCAGCTGTAATGCACAGTATGCTATGTGAATTGAGGCTTTTAGAAAGACACTGCATGCCCTTTCTAGCAAAAAAATGTACCATGCTATCAAGCCATGCAGGTTGAGACAACAGGACAGTTTTCATATATCTGTTGTTGGTGTGACAAGCTCTATCCTAGCATACTTACTGTGCACACAATCAGAAAACTTGAATAAAACCATAAGCATGCCCGGATTGAGCTTCAGAAGTAAGTTGACTCCTGTAAGTTCAGAACACAAGCTTGTAACCAGTCATCCTGCACCAACAGACTACACTCCCTGCTCTTGCAGTGGGAGGAAGCCAAACATACTTCAGCACTGAAAATAGGTAATGTAAAATCCCAAAGTCATTAGTTTTCCTCTTAGGATACCAAGCCCTGGTAGTATAACATACCGACTTTTTTTATTTTTGCACTCAGTCAGCAATCTAGGAGAATACGTTTTAATCCATCTAGAGATCAAAGATCTTACATACACTATTGTATGAGACAAAAAACTGTAATTAATTCACATGAGGTGCTGTTGAAAAACACCATAACCTCACTCAAAGGCTTATTACTGTGTACAGACTTTGAGATATTTTTTCTTGCAGAAAGACTGGATGGGGGGAAATGACTTCTCATATATACCTTGTGGCTTTAGGATCCCAAATTACAATGTCAGCATCAGAGCCCACAGCAATTCTCCCCTTCTTTGGGTAAAGGTTAAAGATTTTTGCTGCATTTGTGCTGGTAACTGCTACGAATCTGTTTTCATCCATTTTTCCACTGTGCTGCAAAAGAGTACACAAAAGCAAACTCATTACTTTTTTAAACACAAATGAGACAAATGGTCCTGCTGTTGAAAAAGCTATGAGTGATGTCACATCAATATTTTTTTAAATGTCATACTGAAGAATTTAGAAGAAATAAAAGTAACTATTTGTCTCAGATGCAAATACTGCAATGTACTTTCACTGAATACGATAACTTCATCTTACTCTATCCCACAGCAAAGAGAAAAAAAGACAACTTTAAAGCCAAATGCTCTGTGGATCCAGTCCCAAGTCAACTGAAATCAAATGTTTTAGCTGGCTTTGAATTTCTAGTCCTGTTCAGCAGATTCCTCAGGAAACATTACATCTCTCTAGTATCTAGGTTTTGGAACATGGTGAGACGGTGTTAAGGTGTCTAGAAGACGATAAAGAAGAAGCAGGGCACAATGTATAATATAGGAAAACTAATTGGCAAATCTCTTCAGCAACACAGAGGATAGTACTATTCAGTAAATGTTGAAATTAAGTACTATAAAATCCAGATTTTCTGATATGACACATTAGCAAAACAGCAAATAATGTGACTTGGGACTGCGTACTGCTATATAACTAATTTAATCTAGCTTCCATGATTGTTGTTTGCTTGGAAAGCCATCTACACTGCCTGTAATATTGTGCATAGGTCAGTCTAGGAATCAGAATGTCATAAAAACATGTTTATATGGTAGCCTGTGAGAAGTCATCTGAGAAGATCGTAATGAAAATAATGAACACTGCTCTGCTAAACAATGGTGTGGGAAGGGAGGGAAGCTGTCCAGACAAACTCTCACAGCTGTGTAATATTTTACAAGTAAAAAAAAAGGGAGGATATCATGGATTTAAGAACTTTTTAAACAATTATCTTGCCCAGCAAGGATACACTATTCAAAAGCAGCACTAATGTACAAATTCATGTCTCACTTTCATATGAACCACAAGCTAGATTTTGGGTTACACCATAAATAATCACACTAGAGCTATGCCACAGGTGAATATAGGCAGAAGTGTGCTTTGTACATGCCAGCTGAAGCTGAAACCCAAATTCAGATAAACAAGAAAGATTATGTACCCCATTCTTACCAAGTGTGAGGTAGATAATTCTACTCTGCAATATGCAAATTACTACTGAAACTGTAGAAATCCCTTATTGCTAAATAATAGAATTCTTCTCTAGTGATACATTTTAAGCACTAAGAATCTTCTTCCATCTTCTGGCACCATAAAGTGAGACTTAGTAAGGACTCTGTTATGGCCCTTGATCAAATGAGTTATCTGATGATAAACACACTTGATAAACTGGAGAGTTAGTAACTTCTGAGTATATTTTGTTGGAGAAATCAATTACCTCCATGTTCAGACATTTTGATATACTTACAACTCCTTTTTCCCATATGACTGACATTCTGTCTTCCACACCATTCACTCCATTAGGGATTTTTGTGAAGTCGTCCTTGCCCAGAGCTTTCTGGCATGTGTCAAATGTGCAATTGTCAGTCCCTGTCGCAGATAAGTCACCACTACAGAGAAACAAAGTTCGTTATGAATCAGAGCATGTACCAGACTGTACCACACGTGAAAACCTGTTGTAAGGCTGGGTAGATCCAGCTGTCCATCCTTCCACGGAAAACTGATATACCCTGTCTTCAGTCCCATCTTCCAAGAGTAGCTCCACAGTAACAGACCCTATGAATTAATTTCCCCTTCAGAAACTTCTCAGAGGAAACCAAGTATCAACACTAACAGGTTTATTTTGGATATGTCAAAGGTGTCCCACAAGGGGAGGACTGTCCCACCTTGCCCAGAGCAAGGGGCTTGGTTCCATCCTCACTCTGGGCATTTTTAGTCTGTGTCACTCCATATGCCCTGTGAAATTAATATGATCTGCAATACAATCAGCAGGTGTTCAGGCACACCTTCACAGGATCTTCAGTCAAATTCAACCCTTTTGTGGAGCTCACCTTTTTTGGTAATGAAGTACTAGCAAACCACACATTTTGTTAATTGCAGGTATCTGAAAGATACTTCTTTTTCTGCTTCCTTTTGAAGGAGATGTGATGAAGTGGATAACTTATATTTACCTTCAGAGGTTGGTAGGCTTAGTTTTTCTGCAACATTTAAACTTCAAGTGAAAAAGGCAGCTGAGAACAAAACTCAGAAACATTAGTTGTGACCTCACTTTTTACACATTTCCCACTGACTTACAGCTGTAGTGTCCCCCTGGTCATGTTATAATTTCTGCTGCAGTATTAGCAAGGCAAGGCTTATTGAATAAAATCAAATGGGGACAGAAGGCCACAAGAGTTCAGAGAAACAAGATCTTAAAACTGAAATGCTTTTCATCTGTGGTTTCACATTCCATTTCTCCTTCCTGATAATATAACATTCTGTACTCAGAAAACCTCCAGAGCATCAACCTGCTATTATATACTTCTGACAGAATTTGCTGTGCATTTGGGTATTGACTGTCACTGTTTGTTCATCTGCTTACTTGGCCAGTAAGTTCATGAGGAAATCAGGAGTAGATGGATCTGGTCTTAATGGAGGTCCCATCACATATGCTGCAGCATGAGCCCAGTCTTTATTCCAGTAGTTGGTGCCATCTGTGCCAAGACCAGCAGCAATAGGCTCCCCATAAACCACCTTGCCTGAAAAATGTAAAGCAGTAGTATCATCATCAAACAACATAAAAATGCATAACTTGTATTTTCTCTGTTGAGGATTTTTTGGTGGCAATGAATTTAAATTTGAAAGATTGTTTCAAATTAAACACCAGCATATGGAATGACATAATGAACAAAGCTATAACACAGCATCTTTGTTCTGAATATTCTGCTGGTGATCTCCCAATATATTTCCTCATAAGAACATTGCTTGGACAAGTTTTTTAATTAAATTGTTGACAGATATATTATAATGGGTTTTCCACACTGTTTACCAGGCATGTGATTGAGATTTTAAAAAGAACACAGTCCTCAGTTGCATTAATTACGTTCAAGATTCACATACGTCTTGTTAGCACCTGTTTGGAGCTCTGAAATTACTAACTATATAACAAAGTAAGTTAATATATACAGCATACAGACATTGCAAGTTGGTACTTTTAGTTGTCAGGCTACCAGGCTACCATTGTTCTAGGAAGAACAGTATGGCACCAGGTAAAAACTAAAATGTATTGAAACATTTCCCAAATCAAAAACTACAAATAATTTAATTTTAAAAGTTGTCTCCCAAGTTTTAATCTTTAAGCCTTTGCTGCATAGTATTCTAGTTTCCTTAGAAGGAACCCAGACTGGCTGTTAGCCTTCGGATAGAGCTAACACATATTAGTTACCTTTTCCTCCTGGGAAACACAGGTTTGAAACTCATCAGAACAAGCCATTTCACTCCCTGAGGAAGTGGCCCAGTCACTCTGCAGTTCTGTACCTGGCAGGTGGTAATGCCCCCAACTGCAATGGTCACTAAAGAACCAGAATGATCTGAGACCTCTCACACCCACTCATAGGCTGCTTGCTGCTGGTTAAAGGCAGACTCTGCTGGATCCCAGCAAGAGACTTCTCTTTCTCCTGCTCTCTACAGACTATGGGTACTTTGCTATGGATCCCAGATTTCACTCCAGTCACAATTTTTATTAGAACTATCACTGCATTTTCCTGGCAAGGCCTCGGCTGCAAATTTCTTGGTGATACAAGACTGACCTTTTTCTGTCTTCTTTAGAAGTCATACATTCATGGTATTCTTGGAAAGCAACAAAGCAAACCTTTGCAGATTTCTCTCTGTACATTAGACTCTGCTACTTCTGTGAGCTACTGGATTATAACTCCTACACTAGCATAGGTAGCTACTGAGGAGCCCAGTTCTTGTCAAAATATTTCCCACTGCAGTAGTGCCATTACTTATATCTCCAGTGCTAGACTTGCAAAAAGGCTTCATAACATTTTATTTCTACATGGTTTCAAGACCTGCTCTGACATTACTGCATTGTACATTTACTCCAAGTACTACATAGTACAACTGCTTCCACAGACTAAAGAATTCCTATTAGCATTATTAATTTCCTGCAAACACCTCAGCATGCTCTGGCATGCTGAACATGCTTATCTCATAGTGATGCTTTGGTTTGGAGCACTCTAAGCTCCCAGTCCCACTTATCTACGTATATTATAGATTTGCACTTGGGGCTCAGAGGCAGACCAACATTTTTTTAGACTTGAAATCATGACTTAGGCAGTTATTTACTGATTTTTGCATCTTATTTTTACAACTTAAAGCACAGAAGCCATGTGTGAAAGCGAGATGACCACTTACTGACTGAGGAGGTTTGAGTTAGATTAGTGTTTTCCTAATTAAGAGCTACTACAGGAGTCAGGACCTTCCCTGACTCCTGCAGGTGATCTTGACTTTCCCTGGACAAATCCAAACACTGTATTTGAGGGCAGACTGCCACAGACCTAAGTGTATACAGGAAAAGTTTGGTGTATATATAACTAGTCTGTCATATTTACCTATTAGGCTTTTGACAGGTTTTCATGATCAAAGGCAGCAGAAAGGGGAGGGAGGGGGAAGTGTGGTGTGTGTCTTTCCTACTGCATCTAAATAAGCTAAAGAAACTTCCACCCAAAGTAAATCCGAACTATGAATCATTTGGACATAGCTATAAACTATTAAAGTTAAAATGGCAGGAAAGGAGTAAATTTTTACCTTCCACAAATAATTTTCTTATCTCAGTTTCACAATATGAAAATGAGAAGAGGTTTCCAAGCTTCCAGTCGTATATGCTGAGTTGATTCTAACTCATGTGCCACAGCTGATGACAGAATTTCTGCAGTCAGAATTTGACTTGACCAACTCCCTTTGTTCTCATGAGTGAGAAGGAGTATAAGCTATTTCCTCAAGTGATTTTGAGCCTGAACACTGCAGTTTCAACAGGCTACCTCTGAACAGTTCTGCCAACTATGCAATTTCTTGCATTTCATTTCAACTGTGACTAGCCAGACTGAAAGATATAATAATATCAAGATTCCACTTTAATCCAAATAACAAGGAAATTCTGCATTAAGGTCCTCCTATCTTGACTGGCTTCTGCCTATAGGCATTAAAGTGGAGTAATGCAGTAATGCAGTAATAAATTGGGTCCTTCTATTTGTTATGTCTTCCTGCATTCAATAAAAAAAAGCAACTATAAACTGTTCTGCTGTTTGGTCTTTCTGACATCTCTGAGCTGCTAGGAAATAGATGTGTATTTGGTGACTTCTTCATCAGATGGCCAAACTGGCTAGCAAGAGCTATTTTTGCATAAATTACTTTTAAAAAATAGAACAATCAACAGCAATTTCTTTTACCACCTATCAGAACTCAAAAATTGAGATACAATACTGATAAAGACCAACTAACATTTACAGGCTTGAAAAACTGGTCCCTGTGTGCTTATTCTAGCAAAAGTTTCAGAAGCACTTAAAATAAGGTCATATGTGGCAAAGACACAAACTATGCCCTGAAAAGAGCAGAACTGCAAGGCAGGGTTTATTGAAACAGGCATAGCATTGCATCAGTTAAGCTAAATACAGCCCAGACCTGAGCTGTCCTGCATGAGACAGCTAAAAATGTGGCATTTTTAGTTGCACTCCTGTGCTCAGAATCAGCTTGAGAGTCTGTATGCCCACAGCTATTGACATGCTGCTCCTCTCACTAAGAGGAGACACAACCCGTGACTGATGGTAGGAATCAACCTTGTAAGTCTAAGCAAGCTTCTTGTAATCTGGCCAAGTACATAAGTTTGTATGCACTTTTTTAAAAAGGAGAAGCTATTTCAAAAGTTGACTCTTAGTAAGATTCTGCTCCCCAATACTGATCTCCACTAGAAAGTCTTAACTCCTTGGCTATAACATCACAGTTCAATGGGAAAACGGATGTGATCTTTTATCATAATACTAGATGATCTTTAAGGTCCCTTCCAACCCAAATCATTCTATGATCTCCAGCCTTTATAGAGCATTTAGATTGAATGCATTTTTTAGGGGGAGGCAGTATAAATCATCTATCTCTAAATCACATTTTATTACCCTTGCTTTCTCTATAGCCATTTCTGGTAGAAGGAATGGGAAAACGGATGTGATCTTTTATCATAATACTAGATGATCTTTAAGGTCCCTTCCAACCCAAATCATTCTATGATCTCCAGCCTTTATAGAGCATTTAGATTGAATGCATTTTTTAGGGGGAGGCAGTATAAATCATCTATCTCTAAATCACATTTTATTACCCTTGCTTTCTCTATAGCCATTTCTGGTAGAAGGAATGGGTGGACACATTACTTTTTCTACTAAGTTCACATCAGGTGGTCCTTACAAGGTGCTGCACTGCCTGACACCAGCACTCTACAGCCTCGTCTTCTCATAGCAGAGATTTTACACAACAACAGAAAGAGGATCCTCTTCATCTTCCCACTCAAGAAAATGAGACTGTCATGCACACAGATGTGTCAGGATGCCCTTCTGTAGAAGAAGACAGTTTTCTACCTATTCTACCAAGATTCAAGATCATGTTTTGCACAGGGATAAAGAAACAGCCCACTGAGATGAACAAGGACAGTTCTCACAGGAAGGTGCTGTCTTTGACTCTTTCAGTGGAGAACTGATGAACCATTGCTTTTGGCAAACAGGTCAGTAAGGGCCCCCCAAAAAAGCAGGATGGGTGCATGAGTTAGCCTCTCTCTCTCCAACACAGTCACAATTTTGGATTTCCTGTTGAATATTCAGCAGTGTAGCTGTTACTGATGTACATGAAAAACATGCTGCTACAATCTGGAGGTTTCCTTCAGTGAGTGGTGCTGGAGATCAGAGCAGACAGATGGTGAACTTCGGCATGGAGGGGAGAAGAAGCCATAGCTCACTGAAGACAACAGCTTTATGCCTCCTGTCTTCAGCAAACTGTATCAGGTCTTTGGTCTCTAATATTATTTCTCCCATTGTATAGCTAAATGAGGGAGAAAGAAGAATTGGGCTCTGACTCAAATTTTTGACTTGCAAAATCACCATCCCATAGAAAGTGAGAAGCAATTCTTCACTTCTGGTATTACACTGTCACCCAGAAAACAGATCACTCTCACTGAAGATCAGTCTCTCCCCTTCTGAGGTCAGTGATGGAATTGGAAGGGATATCAATCTTCCTCCCACATGGGCAAGGATGAATATGCATACACACACACACTGTACTGCATTCTAAGTACTTGGAAACAAACATGAAAAATTTCACAATTGTAAATGGCAGAAAGCTAACAGCAAGACATGGACAAATAATCTTAAACAGATAAATAAACTATATTAGAGTGAACATTTCAAATGCTTGAGAGCCTTCCAGTATGGAAGAGTTTACATAGCTTTCACATTAGAGTGGTTTTTAACCTGTCCAAGTGAAATGTCTTTCACCAAAATATTTGAGTTTTATTTATGTCGTTCATACAATACTTTGAGGATATTTTTTTTTGTCTGGAACACTTTATTTTCTATTTCCACTTTTCACTGAAGAATGGAAAGTAACTTCTACTGAAACTAACAATGAATTTCTAATTGTCAAAACTTAGACAGATCAGTCTCATTAAAAACTATAATTCTTGTAACTACCTTTGTGGTACTCTAGTTATCTTTTGAAATCTCTTAATCAATCTTAGATTTCTGTTTCTTAAACAGTACATTTCCATGCAAGTAGATATTAATTATGGAGAAATGCTGTATGTTGCTGTGCACAAAGGCAAGCATTGATTATTCTGACTGCATCAGCCCAAGAAGCTATAAAGTACAATTAGCACTATAAGACACATATGTTGTCCCAGTTTCATCTTTTTACATACTGAAGAAGCATACATCTATCATCAGTTATCAAACTGGCACTGCAGACTATTCTTACATGTGCCTAACAGTATTTTACAGTATTTACTGTCAGCAAAAAAATTCTTTACTTGAATAGTTGATTATAAAACACCACCTCCTATTTTAGCTCTTATATGTTCACAGTGTTTCATTTTTGATCTGGGTATTTTAACTGTTGTTACAGCTTCTTCTAATCAATGTTCACACCATGCCTGTGAATGTACAAATAACTCTGCACTGATGGATATAATCCACATTCCCAGCAGCACTGTCATCTAGTGGAGGAATCTAATACAGCACAGTACCAAAAGATGTGCCAGTAAAATATATTCTGGTAAATTCTTTTATCAACTTGAATTATTGCTAAATCTTACTAGAAGGCATAGTCAACACTTATTCTGCACAAATATGTCCATCTATATTAGCACAATGACATCACACTGGCTTTGATTGCATTTTCATCAAACTCTTGTACCCTACATTTTAATATTAATAACCTATGCCCCTTTGTAGACATTATCTAAATCAAGGAATAAAGAAACTGAGGTCTGCATGCAATTCTGTATGCAATGTTAGGTCAGGTGAACACAAGCTGTAAATGCAAAAGATGTAAAAAGTTAATGAGGACAGATACTCCATAAAGTCTTAGGTCCTCCAAATCATGGGCTTCTGTCCTGCTCCTTCCACCCAGATGATGCCTCCTCACAGTGCTGTGGTTCCATGGGCTACTCTGGATGAACTTATAGATGAGGAAATAAAACACCCTGAACATCTACAGCCTTCAGGCTCCTTCTAGTCTGCCCAACAGATAGTCAAGAAGGTCAGGCTCCCTTGGCTTACCAGACCTATTTATGAATGCTGCAGTGCAAACCCGAGAAACCCTGCACTGGAGGGAATCAAGGCTTTCAGACACTGTCATCATCACCATGATTTCTAACTGCCCAGTGAATAGAAGTCCTGGCCATGACATGGCACTGTCTGTAAAAACAAGGTGTGGTTTCTCTTGTAAAATTTCTCATGTAAATAACTAGCAAAGTCTTGCAGACTATAACTCAAGGGTGGGCAATAGCAAAGTATTTACTGCCTTGGACTGGCTGTGCCATTTTTTATGCAGTAATGCTGTCCTGGCCATCACTTTGACCTTGGAGGTACAATAAGAAGAGGGAAAAGTTTGCTCTTGGGAGAAGGGAAAGTCTCAATTCCAGTTGCTGTTCTTCCACACTGCTCCCCTTGGGCCCAACAACACACACAGAGTTTAGACATCCCACTCAAAGAAATACACCCATGTTCTGAGGCTTAGGGCACCCATGACAAGTAGGACACTGATGCTGTGTTTGGTTTACTATGATCCCCTCCTCCAATGTCATTGTCCAAACATGAAAGAATTAGGACTTTTACCTTCTCTTCGTGCATTACTTATCACCCTTGCTGAAGATTTACTCATTACATGGACTACATAAAGAGGGCAGTTTACAGCATTTGCTATGGTAATTGCTCTTTGTGTAGCTTCAGCTTCCACTTCTTCAGGACGACACAGCTCATGACCCTCAGGGCCAGTTATTCCCATTGCCAGCATCTTCTTTGCACCCTGAACACCACATAAAAACACGTAAGAGTCGGTTAAATTGTAGCCATGGTGTCATGTACATGCTGCCATACAAATGGGTTCTAAACCATCCATTGCAGCTAGTTTGAGGAAAAAAAAATCAAAGCAGTTACAATTTTTCCAAGAGAAGTCATTGTTGTGTTGTTTGAAATCCAATATATTTATCAATGAACACGTCTCGGAAAAGAATCATAGAATCACAGAACATTAAGGGATGGAAGGGACTTTAGAGATCATCTAGTCCCAACCCCCCCTGCCATGGGCAGTACTAACAGTACTAACCCCTCATTATGGGGGGAAAAAAAATAAAAGGAAAGATCTCTACTGAGCATGAAGATACATATCCAGACCATTTGAATGATGAGAGACATAAGATTTTGTCCCTATTATATGTCAGGAACTTCTATTTTACGGATTTGAGATTATTTAGCAATAAATTAGTTTCCATTATGGGACCTGGGGCAGAGTCAAAGCACGATGTACTAGCATTGTTAAAGAAACTATTCTAGTACAACCACCAGTGTTATAACTGGTATCTAGTATAACCAGTATAGTTGTACTCCCAGTGACTCCACACAGCACTGAGACAGCAGTAGCAAGTGTGAAGTGAGGCTTAGTATGCATAGAGGAATGTTGAGACTATTCTGCCCAGTCAGTAAAGCTTTCCCCATACTTCTGGATTTGTCCCTGTTAGATGAACTATATTTGGAGAGGCCTAGGGTTAGGCATCACATGCCTTATGTCTAAATACTTGATCAAGTGTTCCCCTTTTGACTTGGTGGGTCAGGCTCTGACTGTTGCTTTATTTGTCAGTCAAGTATGAATATCATGTTGCAAGTATATATATTACATTATAATCTCATTATAATAGGATTGTTTGTCTCCTGTCCACCCTGAACCCAGGACTCCAGACTACAATTTCTTAGCCCACCACAAGGACCCTTTACAATCCTGAACAAAATGTTTGTCTTTGGTTCTCTGGAAACAAAAGAGGATAGATAAGCCTTTCCTCTTGATACAATGATGGTACTAACACGTCTCTTGAAGTGCTTAGGTAACAAGACCATCTATCTTCCTGACTTTGACCGACAACATGTCAAATGTGCACCTGTGCAATTAGCTCCCCATTCTCCGCGTGGACTTGAGCAATGGCTCCAAGTTCCTTACAGAAGGAAAAGGCTGCATATAACTCCTCATCATTGACCATGTACACATCTTTATAGGCCATAAACATCTTGAAAGAGTTGACACCTTTGTTCTGAACAAGACTTTTCATTTCTTCCTTCACCTGAAAAACAGCAATTTTCAAAATACAGCGATTATATTTTACATGGTAATAATTTTGTATAAAGAAATTTTAAGTATGAGGTGTGAGCCTTTACTCATGCATCACACATGCTCACTACAAACAGCCCAAGTCACATAATTTTAAAGACTGACTTACACTATTCTTCTTGTATCAAATCAATTCTCAAAGTATATAAATCAGTAGCACTGCAGCGCAGATATTGGAGGCACAAGCTAATTGCAGGAAGAATGCTTTTTACATAAGATAGTGAAGAAGAATTTTGTTCCAAATAAACCTCCTGATGTTTAAAACACCCAGTCCAATTTTACAATCAATGTATCTAATTTACACAGCATGGACACTTGTGAAAAACTGATTTTAACCCAAAGTCTTCTTGCACATCTGGTTAGCTAGAACCATACATTATCTAACATTAGCTCTCCCTTCTAAGGAAAATGATGGTGACAGTGATTGTAAAACATGCAAAGTATTATTTTTCATCTTCTCTCTAATAATCCAGTTACATCTGCCCAGGAAAGGTGAGACTGATATAAAACCCAAAGAAATTTTTATTAGTTAGCCAGAGGAGGTATGGGAGCATATCTTGAGTGGCAATTATCAACTAAATACCTGACATAATGCCCTGCTCTGGCACAAATATAGAGGCATGTAATTTATTCTCTTCTTCACTGTTTACTATGACTAAGGGAAGGCATTGTAAAGAATGTGTGCTTTTAATCAATACTTTAAATCCTGAGGACATGAGAGCTAATCAGAAGGGCATGAAATATCAGTCTTCATCCAGGTCTTTTACACCTCCAAAACATCAAACCTTTCTGTGTCTTTCAATCTTGGCCTTTTAAAACAGTTACATTCTTAAATAAACCAGAATGTTTCATTGATTTACATGTCCCTAGTTTTACTGGATTTTTTCAGTGCAATTCCACTGTTCTTTACTAAGGCTGTTTCAAATGCTCATTACTCAAACATCACTGGAGAATTTATTTTATGTTTTTGCTTTAAGCTACAAGTTGTGGTCAGCCTATTTAGCACTCAGTACACAGAATACCAAAGATGTGTTGTTTGCAGAGTGAAGGCTTCAGCGTATATATTATAAAAGTTAAAAAATTAAGAGGAAGTGCTCATATTTGAGAATGGAATTTACTTTATATATCTGTGTACTGATGCATAGTTCTCTGAGAATCCAAAGCAATCTTGTAAGACATGGGTCAGGTTCAGACAGATATCAAGCACCTGAAAAATTCATTTATTCTGTAAAGCTTTAGTCTATTAGCAAACATTCACTCAACAATGATGATTCTCACGTATGTAAATTCCAGAAAGGTCTTTTAGATGATCTCACATTCAATTAACTACTGGCTCCAGTCCTGCTTTACTTTAAGGAAATACTACTGCAGTCATCCAGGAATAGAAGTCTCCCTTTACAAATGAAGTCAAGCACCACATTTTTCATGTATACATCAATAAAAAACCACCAAGACTCAACAAGAGCATAAATTACCAAGTGTTCAAGTAACAAAAGGCAAGATTGTTGAAAACACCTCTTTCCCCCTCTGGCCTGCCAGGTCTTGGTCTTGCTCAACTGCTGCCTTTAACTTTGTGCAGTATTATCCAAAGGCACAGACTATCTGCAGACTTTATTTTTACAAATACATGTACTTTTGGAAGGGTGTGGGCTATTTCAAATGTTGCTTTTACTCACAAAAATACTATTACACTGCCAGCAAGCTAGATGTAGCACATATAGACTAGTTCAAAGCAGCTGTGGTACCAATTAATGGAAGTGAAAATCAGCTCTTATGTCTACCTTGTTGCTCCACCATGTAACTGCCACGTGCAGTGAATAATCACAGCAGACTTTAGGGTCTGCCCAGCTTTTCCATCTATCAAAGGCTTCAGTAAGAGAACAACCTTTCTGAGGGATGGCAAAGTCGATGATCATAGTGGTTCCTCCTGCTATAGCAGCCTGAAAAGAAGAAAGTTAATATTAAGCAATCTAAGAGAAAACAAATTCCCTCCCACTCTCTCCAACTCCCTGTGCAACAATTAATCTTGATACACTGAAAAGCCAAAAGCTATTGAGGAGTTTACTTGAGAAATGTCCAGACTTGCAAAATGATCCTAGAGATTAATTTCATCTCAAAAAGGTATTCAGGAGAATCATGGTGAAATTCTCAGACTGAAGGAGAAGCTTTTGCACATGTACAAAAACTTATCAAAGATTTGGAGATGAGTCCATAGCATTCATGCACCAGTGAGTTTCCATAAGCATATGGAGCCACCGAGAAAGAAGAGCACCAGAACACCATAGTCAACTTGAGAAATGCTTCCTCAGAGTCTATATAGTCAAAAAACCCCAAGCCTCTGTGACAGGGAAGTAGTAAGAGGCAGATACACAAGGAAAGAATTTCAAAATGTCTTAAAGTTATTTTTATTAGTGACAGGGTATCATTTAGTAAAACTGCACAGCAGGTCTTAAAATAGAATGAGGTCAAATCAATAAATAAACAAAACCCTTACTTTATGGATGTATGAGGATCAAAAATTGCTGTTTAACCAATAATTTTCACTCTTTTTTAGGGACAATTGAATTTTTTTTCTTTTGAAGGATTTTTCTTAGTTGCTCACAGGAATCAGATCCTTGACTAACAGAAATTGATCCAATACAGAAATTCCTTTGCTGAAATGGCTGCTCTCTTCCAAATTAGCAAGAGAAATTCTCTCTGTTGCTCTGAACAACATCCCATTGCACAACAGTACAACCAATTCATATCAAAATATACAGTCCAAATTCATGACTTTATTGCTCTTCCTATTTCTAGATCAATTAGTCCCTACCTTCTGTTCACTTAGCACTCAGAAGCAAAATTGTAAATATGTCAGTATATTTTGCAAAAAGAGAAGTTTGGAGAGTGACATAAGCATTTGTGAATCTGTGATGAATTCAGCAAAACATTTTCTCCAAGAAAAGTTGTTCAAACTGTCAAATATTTTTCAGTAAGACTGATTGACTTATTTGTTAAACAGGATTTAGAATGAAAGAATATTTATAGACTTCAATAAAAAGATTTTCATGGGTTCCACGACTCCACTCAAAGTCTCTTTTTATCCCTAACATCTTTTTTTTTCAACTGAATGGGTAAATCTTAGCTAATCATTGTAGCATATTTTGCAATAGTTGGAACACAACTGTCTCCCTGAATTTCCTGCCAAAGTATTTGTGAGGTGATAACCTTCAGTGAATAGCTCTGAACACTTTCCACACTTTGACCTGGGTTAAGAAGGTCCACAATAGCTACTTTTTTGACATCTGATCACTGAGCTGGATCTAGAATCTTCCTGTAGGCACAAAGTGACTATCTGGACATTCCATTTTCTGTACACAGTCTCTGCTTTGCAGCTTCCCTGTCCAGTACCTCAAAAAGTTCTTAAAAAGAACTCAAAACCAACTACTATTTTTGCAAGTTAGTACAAAATTGATCCTCCCCTACTTTGGGATTTCACAATGTTGGTATCTGTGTCTGAGTTAGGCTGCATCTTTGGTTCTCTTAAAAGTCAATAGGGCACATTGAGAATGAGATTGCTTACACCTTAAGGAGTCTTAAGAGAAGGTCACAGTCATTGCTGTTTCTTTTACATGTTTTCTCCTGTTGAACAAAATAATCTTCTGGCTTCAAGTCACATTTGTCTGATTTTTCTTGCAATGTCAAATTTCTAAATACATTCTTGATAAATAGTTTACAAAAATGGTCTTCACAGAAAAATAAAAGATTGTTGCAGAAAATGACAAAACCAGTAATATGTATATATACTACTTGTACTGTAAATCATGTAAACTAAGTATTCCAGAAATCAAAATTGCGACTTCACTCAGACAGGAAACACACTGTGATGTCTGCAGACAAGCAGAACAGACATCGTGGACTTGATTTTATTCCTCTCCATTTACCACAAAAAGCACTGTGAAAAGGAGAAGCAGCTTGTGGAAGTCATTTCAGTATCTATAACATTTTAAAAAAAATATTTCCTGTTTATGGACATCTGAAAAAGGCAGAATTGTTAGGCCTTTATAACAGATCTCCTCATTTCTACCAGATAGCAACAGAAGAGACTTAATTTGGGGAAAAATATTCCCATGATCAAATTTAAATTCCTTTCCAGCTATTAGTTCTGGTGGTGAAAATTCAAACTTAGCTTTCCTTTTACATTTTATCTTGACTTAGAGAGATATGCTATGTTTGACACAGCAACCATTTTGGTCTGGCAGGAAAGGTCTGTTGTGATGGACAAAATAATTTTTTTATCAAAGTTTTGCAGAATAATTAGTCTATTATAATGAGCCACCAACTTCTGTATTCATTAGGATAAAATAATTCTAGTGCTTAAAACTATCCAGTGTAAAATAAAACACTTCCATTCAAATAAAAGCAGCAACACCAGCAAATCTATCTTGAGTTGGAATACATATTGTTATTGAAAGAAATATTCCAGCAATTTAATGATAGTATACAGGAAATTTGTAGTCCTCCCTTCAATATTCTGGGCTCAGCATTAAGAGAAGCCAAATCCTTGTTAGTGTATGGAAACATACAATTATGGCACTCAGACAATCTAACTTGCACTCTCCTGACAGGCATGAAATTTCCTGCTAAATAAGGTCAATATAAGCAAGATTGAAAATTTTAAAGGTTCTTAATCATGTAGTGATTACTGCATCACACCAACTATTTCAAAGAAGCAAATAAGTGCTTTGCACATACAAAAAATGCTCATCATTGGAATCCATTTCTTTAAAAGGAATGCACTAACACTTTCTGCTTTTCAGTAAACCCCAGTTCTGCTGAGAGAGGAAGGGGATGTAACAGGCTTTCTGAAGGTGCTAGCTAACAGACAAGTCAAGGAGGGCCACATGATCCCTTCTGTGAGCAAAGAATTTCAGTCTGCACAGCAAAGCTTTTAGAAAAATACCTTACAAATTTTGGGGAACTCTGTACTTTTACTGTATGGACATGATGCATAACACTGTTAATATAAGTAATCGATACACTATTCATATGCAGGGAATATAATGAGATCAGCTAAAAAGCTGAAAAAACCCCCAACCACTCCAAGTGTATAACTCAGATAAATTAGGTACTTTTAGAAAATGTATTTGAACTGGACTTTTGCTGAGAAACACAGTAAGCTTCACAGTGAACAACAGAAGAAAAGCTTGTATTCCCCATGCTAACAGAGGAGAAAGATCAAATTACCACAGAAGTGCTTCAGTGCACTGGGGAATTAAACTTTTGCTTTAGTTAACCTTTGCTCAGAAAAGTATGAAGCTTGATGCACGTACCAATACACATTGTGGTCTGCATGGTGACAGAGTAAATGCCTGCCCTTAACACTTGTCACCTCCAGCCAGAATAGTTTCTGAAGGAACCCAAATAACATACTGGTTGAATGTGGACCTCTGAGTACCCTAACTGCTTATGACAACGTCCCAGTCAAGAGACAGTAACAATTGCCAGTGCTTGATTCACACTCTACTATCTCTTTTGGAAGTAATACTGAATAACCAGCAGACATTCCTCTCTGAGAAAGCCCAGATACACACACAGACATGCATATGTGCACCCACCTTGGTTCCAGTATAGAAGTCATCTTTTGACCTGCTACCCATGAAAGGGAACTCCATGTGTGTGTGAGTATCGATACCACCAGGGATCACCAGCTTGTTGGTCGCATCCAGCACAATGAGTCCAGCCGATGGCTCTGGGTTTAAGTTTGGTCCCACCTGCTGCACAGCTCCATCTTCTATGTACACATCAGCCACCACAGAGATGTCGTCGTTCACGACGTTTCCCCCTTTGATCAAAAGTCTCTGCCGAGCCGGGTTTTCGGGTGGCATGTCAGCCTAGAAGGTGAGAGTGAGGCCTCAGCTCAAAACGTTTCTCTTGCCTGAGAGTATTTCACTGCCCACCCTCCTCTCAGAGCAGCACTTATCTCCAAATGGCCCTAAACACACAGCACACTGTGCTCTTTAAACAGACGCTGGAGGAACTGCCCCTCTGCCCCAGCAGCTCCACCTCCCAGCTCCCACGTGGCTCAGCAGGCTGGATGGTGACACAGCACTGGCCCTTTCTGCTCCAGACTCCACGTGTGCCTGGGGAAAGCAGAGCCAGGTCCAGCAGGGTTCTCATGGCACTCGCTCCAGCCTGTCCTCTGCCCCTGGAGGATTTGAAACATGCTGGGCTGCTTTGGAAATGTGGCCATTTATTGCCTTGTGATGCCTAAAGGTGACCCAAGCTCTTTGCACCCCTGTTTGAGGATACCAAGGGTGACCTGAGCTCCCCCCAGAAGAGGCCAGGTGTGTTGGTTTTGAATGGGGGAGAGTTAATTTTCTTCACAGTGGCTATGGGCTATGTTTAGGATTTGTGCTGAACACAGGCTTGATAAGGCAGAAATGTTTTTGTTGTTGCTGAGTAGAGCTTGCACAGAGCCAAGGCCTTTTCCACTTTTCATACTGCCATGCTGGCAAGGAAGTTGTAGGTGCATGGGAGCTTGGGAGGAGACACAGCTGGGACAGGTGACCCAAACTGACCAAAGGGATATTCCATACCATATGACATCATGCTCAGTACACAAAGTGGGAGGAAGAAGGAGGAAGGGAGAGCATTTGGAGTGGTGGTGCTTGTCTTCCCAAGGAACTGTTCAATGTGATGGGGCCCTGTGCTCCTGGAGATGGCTGTGGCTCAGGGCCCAGGGGCCAAGGTGCAGGTGGAAATCACTTTTCGGTAGCTGATGCCTTACTCGACCTGTGCCCCCACAGCACTGCCCACACGACAGTGCCCTCCCCGAGGGACCCTGCCTGGGAGACAGGGCCAAGGGAGGGTTGGGTGCTGCCGTGGGTGTCACACGGGGCTGGCGTGACCACGGCGAGGAGCCGCAGCTTGTGCGTTCCAGAATACACACCCAGAAAAGGAGGTGCGAAAGTGAAATGAGGACAGCTGGAAAATGAGCTAAAAGCTTCGAGCGGAAGAAGAGAAAAGACCTGCTCTGCACTATCCCAGAGGCACAGGTTTCTATGGAATTTCAACACTTCTCTCCTCCTACAACCCTGGGTTTGCATACTCAGCAGTGACACTGCTCGAGTGTGTCCCTAAATCTGCTGAGCACCTGCATCTTCATTCCCCCACCTCTTCCAGTTCTGTGATGGCTTTGGCAGACAGAACATTGTCTCTGCAGGCTGTGAGAGGCTGCACACATACTCTACTGAAAAGCCACTTATACAAGTGACATGAAATTGGAAAAAACTCACCTTCCGGTCAGCGTGTCAGCTCTGTTCCTTCCCTCATGATGGGTAGGAAACATGTACCATACATTTGCCTTTCAATCTGCCCATCCCAAAGTGTCTTGTCTTACACCTCACCTTTGCGCAGAGGGAGAGAGACCCACTGGGATTCATCACACCATACAGCAACAGAACAGGTCAAAACTCATTTGGAAAAGCAGAGGAGAGAATAACAAAGTGAGATGCCCCACCAAGGCTCCCAGCGAGCTGTGCAGTGCTGAACAGGCAGGAATTGCCAACCTGAACCTACCATGCCTGCTGCGTTTAAAACTGTTAAAAAGACAAGGGTGAAGGTACTGTGATGGGAATTCAGGCAGGAACTCTGGCTCACAACTTACAATGGTGTTGGTGAACTTGGAACACTGAATTTCAGCAATATGATTGTTCAGATGAAGAGCTGGGGAATAGAGATGCAGGAGGGAAGTCAAACTATGGTGCTTTAAGAAGGTAGTTGTGAACATTAGAGACTGAGGACAGAAGGGGATCATATGAATTTATCCCACAGGCAGTTTTGAACACATTAAATAAGGTATTTGTAAATAAAAACATTCTGTCTAAGCTGTCTTTTTATCTAATTCATTTGGAGCAACAAGATAAACGGATGTGAGGTTTATTTACATATTTTTGGCAAATATTTAATGTTTTGCACCTCAGCTGTCTCTGGAGAAAATGGTTTGAAATACACCATTGGGACAGAAAAATCCTTATAATACTCTGAGAACACAACTGTTCCCATATTCTTAGCGATCACCGAATATGTATTGCTGCTGCAACAGGGCTTCTAGCTCCTAATTGACTATGGAACCTTGATTCACACAAACACTTTCCTGTTTTTATCCTTCTCTTTGCACAGTTTAAAACAAATCTTTGCTCAGTAATCAGTGGCTGACTCTGCACTGTTTTACTGGTTTAGGCTGGAAGAGGGTTAAATTTCTTCACAGTAGCTGGTGCAGAGCTGTGTTTTGGTTTCGTGCTGAAAACAATGTTGATAACAAAGGGATGTTTTCATTACTGCTGAGCAGCACTAGCATTGTGTTAAGGGTTTTTCTGCTTCTCACACTGCCCCACCAGTGAGGAGGCTTGGGGGGACACAAGAAGGTGGGAGGGGACACAGCCAGGACATCTGGCCCCAGCTGACCACAGGTGTATCCTAGAGACCATGGCATCATGCTCAGCATACAAAGCTGAGGGAAGAAGAGGGACGGGGAGGGAGGGACATTCAGAGTAGTGGCATTTGCCTTCGTGAGTCACTGTTAGGGGTGATGGAGCTCTGCTTTCCTGGGGGTGACAGAACACCTGCCTGCTCTGGGAAGTGGGGAATGAATTCTGTTTTCCTTTGCTGCATGTGGAGCTTTTGCTTCACCTATTAAACTGTCATTATCTCCAAACCATGAGTTTTCACACTATTACCCTTCCAATTTTCTCCCCCATCCCACTGGGGGAGAGCAAGTGAGTGGCTGTGCAGTGCTTAAATGCCAGCTGGGCTTAAATCGAAGCATCTGTGCAGAGAAGTTTCCTTTTAGGAAACATTTACTCATCCTAAAATATTACCCAGTTCCTCAATGATTTGAGAGACATTGCAGAAAATCTCCCTGAACTTACAACTCAAGTTAAATCATATGCTAATGATTTCGTTGTCTGCAGCAAAGCAAATAATCCTAGAAACGAACATCGGAATGTCTTATTTAGTGTAGCTATCATAGAGGTACAATCATAGTTTTCTCAGTAACCTTATGATTAACTGATTCCATTTGAAGGACCCTGAAGAAAACGCAACTCACATCTTATAATTTACCAAGTAAAATTAATTTAGCAAATTAAGGAACTGGTTTGCAATGGACTGAAGTTTGGAACATCCAGAAGACCTTGAGTGTGTCTTCTAAAAGTCATTATAATGCAGACACAATCAGTTCAAAGTCCTCTGAGACATACACCCCCCCGAGAACCTTTAACTGCTACCTCCCCACATAAAATGCTATTGATTTTTAACTACTGCTTTAATTATCCCTTCTTACTCTCATCCTCTGCTTCCATTTTCACATCCTTCCTACCATACCCTATTTCTGAAATGCTCTTCTGTCATCACTGTCTTCTGTTTTTTCTTAACCCAAGGACTCTTACTGGCATTAATCTTCAAATTAAAGTTGGTGAAGTTGAAATATATCAAAATGCAGCAGATGCTGACAAATAGGCTTTCGAACAAACAATAAAGACATTTTGTGAAGGAAACTAGATATTGGTAATGAGCAGTGGGGAGAAAGCTCAGCTAATGAAGATGTGTTATTAAGCATATTTTTTATTTTTGACAACTTTCTTCCAAGGAAAAAAGGACTGGCCCAAACCCCCCATTTTCAGTGTGAGAAAATGAACAGGAATTATACTTTCAGCAATGCTGGATAAAGCACTTGGTTTTGGAGAACCAGGGTAAAGATGTGTCAGTTTGAGGTGAACTCTGGATTTCTAAATGGGAAAGAATAGTTATCTTTTCCCATATTCAGAAAGTCAGAAGGACTTGGAATACTCAGTAGGCATTTCTCTGCAACTCCTAGAAAGAATCCATAATGCCTGTTCACCTGGGATTTACTTTCACAACTCCTCTGCAGTGGGAATTTAATATTCATTCCATAAAACCAGATGGTTCACATGTAATTGCACCTGTAAAGTCTTTCCAACTGTGAGACTAGTCAGGTGCCCCTTGTCAAAACCTCACAACTAGTTTTCAGAACAGTCCAGTGCTGACTACTTTCATGAATCATATTTGCAGGCACAAACAAAAGGTGATGTTTTAAAATCTAATCTAAAAACTTCTTCAGTTGTTTATATTTTCCCAACCTGGCAACTACATCCTATTGGTTTTCTAAAATAAACCAAGGCTAAAACAATGTTATGTAGGACCTGTAGTTCCACATCATCTGTACAAATATGCTCTCCTGAGTATAAGCACTGGACTTTATCCAAGCTTCTAGCTTTTCCCAAATACACTGGAAATGATGCTGCAGCCCATTAGCACCCACCCTTGGGCCCCACATGTGACACAAAGCAAGGCAGCCAAAGCTGTGCATGTGCTGAAGGCCATCCTACTTTTTAAAGCAACAATAGGTAGTGACTGTTCTCTCGCATTTTTATAAGGCCAAGTACCCCTTCCTCCTTGAACTTGCTCAGCACAAATGATGGACCACAGACAAGCACAACCAACAAAGAGGACAGAACGACCAGGAAGTCAGCAGAGGAGCATCTAAGAAACCTCACTGTGCTCTTTGCTCTTTTCACTCTTCATTGGCTCAATAAGGGTCCTATAACATGGCCACTTGCAAGGCAGTTCAACTCAGGCATTGAAGTTCTAAGTCCCAGGATGTTCTGGGAAAAAAAACAAAACCAAACCTCATCATATCTGTCAGTTGCTTCCTGGTGTATAATCTCAGTCAAAGAAAGTATGTGGGATTTTTCCAAACTCGAACAAACGGTCACAAGAGCACAGAGACTAGCTAACTTTGGAAACCGCTGCTTTTACTAATGTTTCTCTAGAAAAACACTGCAAAATGTTATTCATATTTTCTCCAACTCTCAAACTCAACATCTCCTTTTGAAGGAGCACAAAGAATTATAACTCCTGGCCAACATACTAGGCAGAGGCAAAACCAAATGTCTCTGTTCCCTGCCATACGTCTGCAGAAGTAAGATCTCTG